CAAACATGGACATAAGGATTCCTAAATGTTGTGTTATTAGACTGCATTTTTCTCTTTCAAAGAGAGAAAAATGAAAATCGTGTGTTTTTATTCATTTTTCTTTCAACTCACATTTTCTTTATTGAGTAATGTGTTATTTTTTTAGCGAGTTAAAATTTTAGAAATTGAGTTTATATTTATGCAGTATTATTAATTTGAATAGTGATAATGGTGATAAATTATGTGTTATTGTTTTGAGGCATTCGTATATGTGGTGTTATTTTGGTAATTTTTTTATACATTTTTATAATAATTCCATTAATATAGAGGATACGATCGATGGAATATTTTAAGTTATTTTAAAAGAAAAATTTGTATGAATGTTTTTTAGCAATTTTTTTTAAATCTAGGCAACTGGTTATAATTTTTTTTTTGTTACATAATGCCTTCAGGCACGGGCAATGACTAATCATTTAATATTACGACATAATTACACTAATTATATACATCAAATTTGGTGTAATGATAAATTATTTTTTGTAATCATAAACCCAATTTGATATATATAATTGGTGTAACTATGTTATGATACTAAATAGTGTAACTCTTTGATTTATGCAAATGACTGAACAACAAATTAGAATGGTGTTTTAATTTTGTGTAATTTGATTGGTGTAACTGTTTAATTTATTAAAACGTATGAGTAACTATTTGGTGTATTATAAGACAATTATAAATTTTTGGTATAATTGTACTGTTGCAACGTTGATATAAAACAAGTTAATAAGGAAAGAGTATCAGCGAAAGAAAATAGAGAGAGACAGGTAGAGATCGGCTTTGATTAGAAGATGGTCAGGGTGTAAGGGGTCTTCGATTTTTTCACGGAGTTCTGCACACCTTTTGTGTAAATAGCAATCACATTGGTCACACCAGTACACAACATCTGAGATCGGCTTTCTACACATGTAGCAGAGAATAAGCAAGTCCACCTCGCGCACTTCCGTGAGGATCAATGGGTGTACATGGCTAAAATGTTGAAGCTTCTCCGTCTTTGGAAGTATGAGAGAAAGAGAGAGAGAGAGGTGCAGAAGAGGAGGAGATGCAATGATTGGACTCCGAATGCAAAACCGCTCTTCGACTTTCTATTTAATCATGTGCCACCCTGCCTTTTCAGAATTTAAGAAATTAGATTAAGTACTTGCACCCCCCAACATAAGTTACATGGATCCTCATCCACCACCTCTTGATTGCATCATTGTTTGTCAATAACATTCCCAGATCAATTGCAATGCAAGGCTAGTAATTGACAAATTTCTTTAAAAAAAAAAAAGGAAAAGCTAAATGTTACATATGTTTGGTTTTTAGAAAAGAGTATTCTTTCTCAATTGTTTATCAATAAATAAAGAGACTTAGAGCCATCACGTACTAGCCTAATGACCAAAGTCTCACATCCAATCTACAATGTCTAAGATCTAAACCTCGTTTTTGAAGCCATATGTTTCTATATTGTAAAAAAAAAATAGATTAGTAATTTTCACGAGGTATAATACTTAAATTCTATTTCCCAGATTGGCCAGAGCTGGTCTAATAAAGAAACTAACACAACAAAGTGTCCTATGTTTTGCAAGTCTATAATATGATCCAAACCAAAGATTAAACCCATAAAAGTTTAAACCAACAAAAATATTTGGCACGAGACGATTTAAACAGTATAAAAACAAGACATGATCTGACCCAATCTGATCCATTAACAACTCTAATCTAGTCACACCCATGCATCTACATATGTCTGAACAAAGAATTTCCTTTAATTCAAGCCAATAAGGCATCTAGAGAAGTGTCCCACCCAAGAAATTTAAAAAGAAAAGAAAAGTTGTACTCTAGTGGATTCAGATGTTCATTGTCCTCTTCACTTCTCTCACCTCTGTCTCTCTTTTCATTCAACTCTTGACTGAAATACAACAAACAAAGGCCTAAAGCCTGCACCCTAGAAAAGAGAAAAGAAAAAAAATGTATAGCATCCCTCTTTAGACGGTTCTGTGCATGCGTGTATGAGTGACAGTGTGGATATATACTCTTAGAATCTCCTTTGAGATAGGTTTCTTCTGTTGGCTTTGTAAAGTCTCATACCTTATAATAAACTCGGATAGTTGTCAAAAATTCAAATTTTTTTTCCTGATACATAAATCACTAATTTACTCTAATTAGCCAAAATATGTGTTTGGCTTTCCAACATCTGATTTAAAGCTACGATACTGAGTGAAAGGATTGTGTGTGTGTGTGTGTGTGTGTGAGAGAGAGAGAGAGAGAGAGAGAATATTTGCAACAATGGAATTTGTAAGCATATGGCAGTATACATGTCTCATGGATTAGGCTCTCTCTCTGTTCAACTCTTGACTGCAATGCAAAACAAGAAAAAAGAAAAATAATGCAAAGCATCATTCTTTAGACCCTTTTGCGTATGCGTGTGTGAGTGGATGTATGGATATATACCCTTAGAATCTCCCATGGACTAGTTTTTTTTTTTGAACAACTATCATTTGACTTTTATAAAATCTGAAATCTTATAATAAAGTTGAATAGTTGTCGAGAATTCAATTTTTTTATGATATCTAAATCACTAGTTCATCTTTATTAGCCTAAATATGTTTTTGGCTTTCCAAAATTTGATTTAAAGCTATAATCATGAGTAAAAAGATTTGAGAGAAATAAAGAATATCTACAGCAATAGAATTTGTAACCATATGTGTACACATTTCTCATGGATTAGGCTCTCTATTTATAGGTAAATTAAGCTTAAAATTAAATTTCAATAATATAACTCGAAAACAAATAGGCTCATTAAATTAATAACCGCAAAAATGGTTAGTTTTAAAAACCCTATTTTATAAGTTCTACGGTCTGAGACCATCTCCAATCTAGACCAAAATTTTTACTCAAATTTAAGTGGACATTTGAGTAAAAATTTTTATTTGATACAAATCATTTAATAGACAAACTCAAATTTAAAATATAACAAATTCAAATTTAAAACTGGACAAATTCAAATTTAAATGAATGTAAAATATTACCATTGATCTTTAAAATAAAAAAGTGAAAACTGAATATTGAAAATATGAATACAGATTTAAATCTCACTTGGTTTGAGTAAAACTTTAAATGTTCCTTGTGTAAAAAGATTGAAGGTTGTTTTTAACATGTTTTTACTCAAATTTAAGTTTAAGTAAAGATTTGAGTAACGCTCATCGATAAAACCATCAACGCTAGCATCAACATCTCGGTCACCCCGACCTTCAAAAAATCCATGGTCAGATGCTCTTTGGAACCATATTCTTTTCTTGCAATACTTCCAAACAATAAACTCTCTCTTTCCTAGCTACAACAATCCCAAAGGTGACCAATTTTTAAACAGTAAAGAAAATTCCCTTGGCTACAATCAGCTTTTGAACCAAATAGCCCCAAAATCATTATATTAATCCAACCACTATCACCTGAGAGAAAAGATTCCCTTGCCCGCAATCAATACTAAAGTACTCAAGAGTGTGGGCTTGTGAGTTTAGGGTTGATAGTTGAACGATTTCAAATGAGTTCGAGTCGAGTTTAAATAATTTATTTTCTTGTTTGAATCTAAAAATTTATTCAAGTCCGGTTCATTAAGAAAACAAGTTGAGCTTGAACGAGCCCAAAAAAAATCGAATTCGAGTCAAGCTTGAGTATTTACTCATAAATAAGCTGAGTCTATCGAGTTCAAGTGACAACGTGTCAAATCTGAACCGAGCTCGAGTAGCTCAGTTGATTAACACTCCTACTTTGTGATTGTGTAGGAGGTGTATATGCGTCTCCCGCCACCGTTTCTGATAGCTACCATTAAAGGAAGCAAAGATGCGGCTTAAAACACCCCATAGATATGCAACACAGAGCAAAGGGCGACAAAATACTAAATGAACTATATAGGAGATTTTAACGATCAAATAGGAAAGATCAACGAGATAATGAGATTAAGTCCATGCTGAACATAGATTTGGAGATAAGAATCAAATTAAAGAATGTGCATTTCGCTCTAATACATGATCCCACACTAGCAAACACTAATTGCATGGAATTTATTAGGACACTTTGGATAAATTACATTTACACCCTCTGAGTTATCAACCTTTTTTCACTTTGTCCCCTCAACTATCAGATTTTTCACATTGTACCATCAACTAACACTATTTTTTTTTTTTTTTTATCCAAATAACACTTGTTGTTTCACATTACTCCAATTGCAAACTTCAATTATCTTTTTGGATGAAAATTGTTGACATATTGGAGTAAAGTGAAAAAAATTACATAGTTTGGGGAAAAAAATGAAATAACTTTTTGTTAAATATGTAACGGACGTTAATAAGTGAGACAATGTAAAACTAATGACATAGTTGAGGCTAAAATGTGAGAAATATGGTAGTTGAGAGGGCAAAGTGAAAAAGGTATAATAGTTCAAGGGGTAATAGTGTAATTAACAACAAAAGCTTGGCCTGTGACGGTGCTGATATATTTATTTATCGGTGGCATATTGATATCTTTATGGATTATCTCCACAGCATTCTTATACACATCACATCAATTTTCCATAAATTAACACTGAATTCCAACAAAAAAGAATAAAATCCACTACTAATAATTTGACTTCAATTTGTAATGAGACTAATTTCTAATCCCCAGACCCCGCAATAATAGATGCGAGAGTCTCGTGCACCGAGTATGCCACTAGTTACTAATACAATACTACTTCTTTTTCTCCCTCTCTATGCCCATGGACTAAGTGAAGCCATCACTTTGCTTTTGCTCCCACGAAACAAGTTTAAAAATAAATTAATCATGCTTGTTGTGATACAAAGAGTTTAATTAATAATGTTAAATATCCATGGAAAAGCGAATAAGTCCCGCTTGCACCTCCAACTTTCTGATGAAATCTAAAATAATTACCAAGAAAAAGGAAAAGAAATAATTTATTTGATTTCCACGCAACATGATACTATTTACGCCATGGATTCAAGTGACAAAATCATTATCTCCTAAATGAGGATAAAGTTATGTCTCACTTACCTTTTCTAAACCCCACTCCGCGTGCTCCTCCGAAAGGGCATTGTGGCGAATGACATTGCTTCATCAAGCTTTGGCTGCTCCACCTGTTTCTCTTGTAGTGCGGATATCTTGCAACACAATTCCTTGACAAGGAAAGCTTTCACTGCACTCAGAAACACTCGTTCTTTATTGTTCTGGTAGACAACCATTTTGACTTGAACAGTTGAGCTGTGTGACAGATTAAGAAAATAGATTCGTTTACATCCTAGTCTCAAAAGGAAATTGAAGAGATGGGCCTCATTTCTCTCCATTGCAAGGGGTAGCGACTTTATTCTGTACGTCCAAGAAACGCTTAAGTAAGCCAATTCTGATAACATGCTATAAGGAATGGAGTCTATGTAACTCAACTTGTGAAACATGCAGTCGAGAAAATAAGAAGAGCATACGAATACAGTCCAACAACAATTTCCAACATTGTTTTTCTCTTGGGATCTACTAACTTGAAGAGGGAAATATCAAAACATACATAGGTTGTATTTCTGGCTGTTTGTTAGTTTGAAATTCAGCAAAGTTCATTAGAAAAAAATGACATAGCAGGAAAATGGCATATTGTGTTGCATTCTGGATACCATTTTCCAGTCACACGAATGGATATATTACTGTAGAAGATCTATCATTTTGGATAGTAAAAAATTGTGATAGATCTAAAATATCTCTCCTGCTCCTACAGATTCTCTTCCACCTTCTTTTTCATAAATAGTTCTAACTACAAGAATTATGTCCCAGCAATGTAGTTAACTTTCTCTGTCCAAAATGTCCCTCCTCTAATTCTTCTTTCTTTTATTTTTTTTTACCACGTGACCAAATTTTGCATTGTTGTCTTTTTCTCCTACATCAGCTATTACAGTAAAAAGTACTAGTACCTATTTTCCACATTCTTGACACCATTCCATCTCTCTGTCTCTCCCCCGCTCTCTTTCCCGCATTCTGTCTGCACTACATGCACGGATGCATACAAACACAAGTTTGGTAATAACTCAACACACAGCTAATTAACTTGAAGAAATTTGACGTTATTACGGTATTTGAGTCGTTTAAACAAAGTTCTTTGGATTTCTTATTCCTTTTGACATGGAAGATTTGTGTGTGCCAACTGAGCTTATACCATGTCATTGAGTGGTGTGGTAATCTTGATAACTTTGTATCTACTTCAGATTTCAAATAATATAGAGTTTAAAATCCAAAGAACAGAATCTACAACCCTATGACTGTTTTCTAAACAAAAATAAATTAGTTCTGAGAGACAAGTGATTACTGTCTAATAATTGTAGACATTCATGTTTGAAAAAATGGATAGATATTTTAAGAATGAACTGAAAAATGAAGTGAAATAATATTTCAATAAAAACACTCCTTAGTGGAATCTTGAAGCCTTTGCATCCAAAATATCATAACCCTTCTATTATGACTTAAAAAGGGCCAAAATTGAAATTTAATTGACAAACAAATCAAAATATGCGGGATACGACCTCAGCTGAGTGTTTTTTTATAGAATATCAGTCATCAACTGATCTTCATACTTGTTATTTCAGATTCCTGTTTGAGTAGTATAACATATATCTTCAAGGAGATTTGGATTGACTACACAAAATTAAAAATCTCTGCCAAGATTCATCACATGTCAACATTAAACATAAACCCCTCTGCTAAGATTCATCACATGTCAACATTGTACATAAACCCCTGTCATCAATGAGCATAAATTAAATAAGAAAAGCATGTAAATTGGGAAAGCTTAGCATATTTGACGAAAAAGTATCACTTAGCAGTTTAAAGAACCAAATTAAACAAACAGCAGGCATAGAAAGGATCAAAATAAACCCCCCAAATGCATAATTATAACAATATCCCTAAGAGGATTCCAGAAAAGATAAATCCCAAATGCATAATCAGAACATAAAACTTCATAACCATATCAGAAACTATAATCAGGGTTTGAAATTCAATATAGCCTTTCAATCCATCAATTGGGCACAAATTAGGGTTAGGGTTTTGTATCATATAAACAAATAATAGGAAACCTTGATCCAATTACAGTTTCTGGGAGAACCAAGTTACCAACTCAGAGCATCGCCAGATTCTGAAGAGTAGAGTCGTTTCCCGTGTAATCGCCAATCACTTCTGTTTCCTTCTCAGACATAGACACATGAAGATCTGATCATTGGTTGTCACTGTTTCCATGCCACCAAAAGAGAATCACAATCCTAAACAAAATTGCCCTTTACTCTATCTTTCCTTCAATCCTAGGGTTGAAGACATAGAAAATGGGTGTTTGTGTGCGTTCATTTTCGCGATTTGTGTGTTTTTGTGAATACGTTTGGTGCGAAGAGAAAATAGACAAAAGAAGTTAGTTTGAGTATAGAGAGCACCAATAGAGTAGGACGAATTTATCAAAATTGTAATTCCCCTCCAATAAAACATCGATAAACACAGAACCTTCATTAATTCTATGCAAAAGAAGAGAACGAAACAGATCGCTTGAAAAATATTGTCTTTTCACAAAGATTATACAACTAGGTACACAATGGTATAGTGAGTATAGAACAAACTATTTTTTCACTATCAAGAACGGTAATTGGTTTCAAACTTGTTTCCTATCTATATAATAAAGTAACTTACAATTCAAATCTCAAAAGATAAACAAAATAATTTTTGCTATTCGAGATTGAGATCGCTTTAAATTTTACTTTAAAATTAATTTAAAGACTAATATTAACACCCTAAATTTAATTGAAAAAATAGGCCCTAATGG